GCTTAAACTAGGCAAGCGCTTGTCTTCAAGGAGCTTAAAATAGAGGTAAATCTCCAAAAACCTAATCAAAAAAGGTCGGTAACGCACTTGTAACTCTTCCATTGTTGCTGAATGCTTACCATTAGGTAATTCGAAGGGTCGTTTGCCGTTCTAGTACATAAAAAAACGTCACTGCTGTGTCTCGAGCAACCAGGCTTGACACCAGGGCACTGATTTACAGCATAGTCATAGTCATAGTCAGTCATATACAGTTATATCGATTATAAATATAAATACACAAAATATGCTTTTTCAAATGGCCAACATATGCACTATTTGTTGCCAGGCACTGTACTAGGTTGTTTAGGTAGTTAGCTATTCTAGGAAGGTTGATGGTGGCCATAAAGTAAGATGGGAAGTGGTGGAGCCACAGAAATGACTTGAACAAATAGAGGCTTGAACGATAGGTTAGAGAAAATATGTACAAGTTTTCTGTTCTGTCGGAAAACCATTCTGGATGCTTGAGTTTAAAGGTTTAACAGAACTTTTTTTTAACTTCATAGTCTGTAAAAAAAGCCATGAGTATAAATGAGAAGATGATGGAATGGGAGAGGGAGATAAATATGGATGGATTGTGTGAGAAGTGATATGGAAGACGAGTTAGTGATAGTGTGACGGGTGACAGGACAGAATGGAAGAAAAAAACATATTGCGCCGACCCCAAATAAAACGGGACAAGGACAGGAAGATGATGATGAGTCTGTAAAGTTTTTACCTGCACCTAAATGTCTCATATTTTATACTAGCTTTTGCCTGCAACTTTGTTCTCGTGGAATAGTGACTTCCTGCAGATTTTTGGTTTAAAAACTATCCTATGCCATTTCTCAAGTTCCAAAGTAGGTATGTCTGTACCAAATTTCACACATGTAGGTTGTGTAGTTTCGACGTGAAGAAAACACATTTAGAGTATAAAGGGAATTACTTAGAGTTCACTTAAAATCATATAATTAATACTATTAATTGAAACTCACGTATGTTCTTTCATGTCCTGTTTAAGTGCTAAGAGTAGCATATAGCAACCCCAGGGGGTGATGTCACGTCACATAGCTACGGCTGTTGACTCTTGTGCCCTCCCCCCACCCGTCACCCCTGACAGCTCTGTGGCCTTGGCTTTGGACGTACTCCGACGTGTAGATAGATAGTTTATGGAGTAGAAAATAGGTAGGTAATAGATAAGTGTAAGTGTTGTAAAGATTAAAAATATAGCAGTTTTATTCATTTAATAGTAATTGTTACTGGAGAAGTTTTTGATATGTATGAAACGAAATAAATTTGCAATCAATAAAATGGATTTAATTTTTTTTTGCGCAGCGACCTGCCCCGTCTTTTCAAGGTTTTTCAAGGTGTGCAAGGGCTTTATTAATAGATGTTATTATACATTAACAAAAATCAATCTACTTATGTTTATCACGTCACTATTAAAAGTGCCTTAAGTGGTCAACCCTCACTGAAATGTTTGCATCTCGTTCCCTCATTCTATTATGCTTACGCCTTCAGGCAACACACACCCACAAGTGTGGGAGAGCCAAGCTTCGGCATGAATGAGTCGGCTCGACCGGAGTGATACTACGGCCTCACATAAAACCGGCGTGAAACAACCCAGTGTTGTGTTTCGCCGTGTGAGTGAGGTTACCGGATGCCCAATCCCTCCCCTTCCCCTATCCCTTTCCGATCCTTTTATCCGCAACCCCTATCCCCAAAAGGCCGGCAACGCACTCGTAACTCATTTGGTGTTGCGGGTGTCCAAGAGCGGCGGTGATTGCTTACCATCAGGTAATCCGTCTGCTCGTTTAACGACTTATATAATAAAATAAAAAAAACCTCCTAAAGTATCACAATAAATTCCATTTCTGCTATTTGATAAATACATTGTTTTATTTCTTCAACCTTAATATAACATTATAATCTTCCTCTTCAGTCGCTATATCTATTAAAAAACTGAATCAAAATCCATGGCGTGGTTTTAAAGATATAAGCCTAAGCAAACATAGGGATGTAGAGACAGAGAAAGCATTTTAATACTATGTAGTGATGAAACTATCACAATATTTTCGAAGATATGTATATTTGATTGACCTTACATTGAATGGATCGGCTAGACTGGAGTACCACGTAGTAGAGGTACAACGAGCTTACAGAAAACCGGCGTCCAACAACCACAGCGTCTTGTTTCGCCGTGTGACAGAGGTTACCAGAGGCCCAATTCGTCCCCTTCCTTTCCCCCATTTCTCCGGAAACCTTTATCTCTCAAAGGCCGACAAATCACTGGTTACTTTTCTGGTGTTGCGGGTCTCCATGGGCGGCGCTGATTACTAACCATTATGTAATCCCTATGTCTTGCAAAAAATATGCATTTATACATACAAAAAAATAAAGACCTTTAAAAGATTTTTCACTATGATTTTATTGATGTATTTATTTTGTGAAGTCATTTGGTCCATACACCATAGTGAAGAGTATGAGGAGATAAGCAACAAGTTCGGAAGGTCAGTAGGGGGTGGGTCGTGTCACATGTCGAACTGTTGGCTGGCACACTGCCAGGTACAAGGTTCTTAGCTCCGCCTCCAGTTATAAGGACTAGCAACAGGTGAGAATGGTGATAACTTCATTTTTTTTTATTTAATAAGTCGGCAAACGAGCAGACGGATTACCTGATGGTAAGCAATCAACGCCGCCCATGGACACCCGCAACGGAGGAGTTACGAATGCGTTGCCGACCTTTTAGGGATTAGGGATTTGGAGATTTAGGGATTGGGGAAGGGTCCGGGAAGGGGAAGGATTGGGCCTCCGGTAACCTCACTCACACGGCGAAACACAACGCTGTGGTTGTTTCACGCCGGTTTTCTGTGAGGCCGTGGTATCACTCCGGTCGAGCCGACCCATTCGTGCCGAAACATGGCTCTCCCACAGATCATATCATATCATATATCAGATAGTTATAACTATATAATAATACTAGGTAATAGGTATGTTTATTTAATATCTTAGTGAGATGTCTTATAGTTCACGTTTCTCTTGTGTATAGCCGGGGGTGCGGGCGTAGTGGCAGTGCGCAGATTGGTGAACTTGCGAAATTTATATTCTTTTAAAAAAGAGTTGCGAATTAGTTTCTTGTTCATCAATTCGTTCGTCAAGTTCGTCGTATATTTATGTACAATATTATTATTATTTGTTTTAATCCGTATTTTTTGTTTTTGTTATAAAATTTGGTACTATTATGGACAAAAGACAATGTTAACATAAATGAAAAATGACTTTAGACTATATTATGTATGCTTCATCATTTCTTATGTATTTATTACCTATGTTTGTAACAAATAAATTTGAGTTTGAGTTTGAGTTTGAGTCACATTCAAATCTAGACTTTGGAACGAGAACCTAGCTTCACTGACGCACAGACTGACAGAACCTAAGTGCCAAATAAACCTATGTTACACAACAATGTATCATCTAGTATATAGGTAACTTGTAGGTCGCTATGGTATCAATGATACATTTTATATTTTTACTTAACTTATTAGAAATAAGTTATTATTAATAATAATATTGTCGGCCCGGAGGTTAAGCAGCCCGCTTCTCATGCATGAGGGTGTGGGTTCGAAACCTGGCAAGTACCAATGTGACTTTTTCCGAGTTATATGTACTTTCTATGATTATTTAGACATCACTGACATACGGTGAAGGTAGACATCGTGAGGAAACCTGGACTTATAATTTCTAATTATAAGTTTGAAATCGCCAACCCGCATTGGGCAAGCGTAGTGATTAAATTAACCTTCTCCGTATAAGAAGAGGCCTTTGCTCAGCAGTGGGCACTTATAGGCTGATGATGATGAAGATGATGATATTAGAAATAGTTCAGCGAAACCATGTTACAGTACAGCACAGTAACTTTTCATAACGGCAAGGAAAACCCTGAAATATTAACACGAGAACTATTGTTCGCTGAAGCGGAAGTTCGTGAAGGTTTTATTTATAAGAACCATCTTTATTATTTATAGCATAATTTTAATTGTTACAGTCATCAATATTTTTAATAGGTATTAATATCTTAGTAATCTGATATTATTATGTAGTTGTCTTTACCGTTTCTTTATAAATGGTAGACAAAAGAGGTAACATTTTAGTTTTAGTTTCGTTTGCTTAAGATAAAAGAGACCTAACTAAAAAAAGAAGGTATTTGAATGTAAGAAATTATGTTTCAATAATAAGGTTGAATTTTGAAAACCCTCTTTTATGAGTTAGTTTTCTTTTCTATTTAATATGCGTAAGTTTAGTGAAAACTATATTTATTTTCACACTGTCTATTAAGGGGGCAAACAAGCAGGTATAATGCAACAAGCAACCAGTCATGGATACACGCAACACCATAGGAGCTACAAGTTCCTTTCAGGGATAAAGGATTGGGAATTAGGAGAGGGGGAGGACTGGGTCTTCGTAATCTCCTTCAAACATTCAAACACAATGTTTCGGTCTAGTTTTTCCGTGTCCAGATAATTTATTTTCAACTAGCTCTTACCCGCGGCGTCGCTCCCGTCATTTCACTACTCTACCTACCCTACTCTTCCTATTTTCAGTTAAATCGGTTCAGCCGTTCTTGAGTTATAAGTGGTGTAACTAACACGACTTTCTTTTATACCTATATATATGTATATAGATTAAATTTCGGACTGAAAAAGTATTTTCAGTACATTCCAGTGATGTGCATTAAACTTTCACCAACTTCTATGGCAAGCAGATTTTAAAAATAGAATTATTTTTTAAAAAATATTCTTTAATTTCAGCAGCAATTAAAATAAATTTACTTACTTCAACACTGACCTAAATATTCCCAAATAAATGAATCACCAATAACATAATTGATCAGAAAACAATAAGCGCTATCAGGAAAGCGCATCAAACGCCGGGGTTTACCGTCCGCAGTACAATAACGATGTGTTTCAGTACTTCAGTACACAACCCGTGGTTGTTCAGTAGTGGACTGAACGCAAGCCAAAACGGTCGTGCCGCCACCAATGCCGCCAACTTACCGATCACGAGTCAAATTAAAAATAATATACTAAGAACTGTCCATTCCCATCCATCTAACAAATGGGATAAATTCAATCGGTGATTTTCATGTGGTGATTAAAAACAATCTGTGGTGATAGTCGGTGATTAATTTATCGAAAAAAAAAATACAAAAAACGATTTTAATTTTTTTGTGTGATATTAGTTTTTAGGAACTTTTTTTTATTATTGTTTTATTGTAGTGTTTCTTTATTGATTTTTTGTTTTTATTAATAAGAAGTGCACTATTTGAAGTTGCAATGGAGGAGCACGGAGGTGAGTTTTTATTTTATTTTTAAATTTTCTTCCGAAACGTAGACGACGTCTATTTCATTTTCGTACCATCTTTGTGATTTGACAATATTTTCAAAATATATAATATCAGTATACTTTACATACTTAATCTATCGTCGAACAATATTTCCCTTCACATTGACCTACGTCTTGTAAAATGGCAGTTTGTGTATGACGTCATAGCTTAGTAAATTGATTAAGGAATCTAGGGGACACTCCCTTAACAAGCAATCTTTTAGTGTAATAGCTTTTGTCTTAATGGTTATAAAGGTCAATATTAAATGCACGTCTATTTATACCTTCGTAAAACTTCCATTTAATTGACTGTTACTGCGTAAAATATATTTTTATTATAATACTTTCTGAATAGAGTTGTGTTAGTATGAATTTTGGTTTGAACCTCATAAAATACTACACAATTTTTGGTATTATAAAAAAGTGGAATATTTTTTTGTAATTTATTTAACCTCTTTTAAATAAACTATGACCTACCTAATTGTGCGATAGTAATTATCAAAATAATAATTAGCGAAAGAAATAATAATAGTCTACTTATTATCTTTAATCTATAAAGACAATTGGATTTTGTTCTCTTTATAAATTTGTTCTTTCGTTGTTAGTTGTTTGTTTACCGAGCTGTTTTTTTCCTGGTGGGGTGGGCAGAGTTCCAAGTTATATTAACCTTTGGCACGATACTGTTAGGAGACGATGGGCACTTATTACGTGGTATTTGTTGTCAATAGATGATAATAATGTTTTGTAAATTATTTCAATGTGTTGGTTGTAAATGAGACTATAAAGCTTAGGGGTATTGGATTCAATTCGATTGGGGTTTTCCTAGTTGAAAATGTTTTTGAGACGAAATACAAAGTTTATATGAGAAAAATATCTGCTCGACCCTGCTTCGAACAAGTATCCAACAATTTCAATTTCATTTCTAAAATTATCTTTGCACCGAAAAAGTTGTAAATTCCCGCTATTCCCCTTTACTTTTCTAATTGATTGGCAGGCGTTGATTGTGTTATGCGCTTACCAACACATTTCGCAATTCATTTTTATATTATAGATTAAGTGTGGGAGAGCCATGCTCGCCTCGACCGGAGTGATAGTCTCACAGAAAACCGGCGTTGTCAAACTTTTAGGGATTAGGATTAGAACCTTACTTACATGGCGAAACATAACGCTGTGGTTGTTTCACGGCGCTTTTCTGTGAGGCCATAGTATTACTCCGGTCGAGCCGACCCATTCGTGCCGAAGCATGGCTCTCTCACACTTAAAATGGTACGAAACTGTTTATCCTACAAAAGTAAAACAGTCGATAAACATTTATTTTCCACATGTTAATATTATTTGAATGAAATGTTTCAATACGAATTGTGTAATGGCTGTGAATCACTAATATTATAAAGATGTAAAATTTGTAAGTTTGTATGTAGGTGGAAAATACTGGTAACCGCTGGTCGGATTTCCAATATTCTTGCACTAATAAATAGCTACAATTTTCCTAAGTGCCTTAACTTATAAAACATCACTCTACGTCCAATGATGCAACCACGCGGCAGTAGCTAGTCTGTGATATATTCCAAAACCTAGTTTAAGGAAAATTCTTATGCATAATATATATTTCACTTAGCATTGTCATCACTACATCTACAAAATGTGTTGAAATATTCTTTTCCCATCTTCAACTTCTAGAACGGTCGGAGTCAGAATACTATTTCATCAATGACTATTAGAAATTTTGTTCCTATTTCCATAACAATGGGTTGGCTGCACCAAGGCCTTTCAGGATACCGGCGTTAATGACCACTTGTATTATTTCGCCTTATGAAAAAGGGTACAGTAAGGTGTCCATGGACGACGCCGTTTGCTTACCATCAGGCGATCTGTCAGTTCGATTATCACCCCATGCCATGCAAAATATAAGTGTATAGACTGGAAGCAATATTTGAATTCATATCTGAGATCGGAGAAATATATCAGGGTTTTTGCGAATATATTTTTTCAGCTTTTTTACAAAGCCCCAAAGTCGTAGTTTCAATAAAGAAATTCGGTAGAATGTGGGAAATTAAAGAGCTCTCCAGAACAGATCTGTATAATAGTTTTGTCTTAAAAAATAAAGACAGAAAGGAAAACCTTCTTAAAGGCTAATAAATTGATTAAAAATAAAAAAAGTAGAACAATATCAATTTATTTATGAGACAAAAAACAATTAATATTGACCACTAGTTTCTGCCCGCAACTTTACCCGCTTAGAAAAGTGTCTTGCACAGATATATATTGCTCTATTTTTCAAAACCAATATTTTATGTTGCCCAGGCTAATTAACTATGCAACGAACAAAGTTTCATTCAATCTCCTTCTCTGCTTGGTTCCGGAGATCAGTGCGTGTTTCCGCGACCCGAAACAACAATTTGTGGATCACACAAAGTGTTGTTCCGTGCGGGAATCGAACCCGCGACACGTTGCACGGCAGGCAGTTGCCCAGCCACCGCGAAACGCTACACGCTGTCTGGTCGGGTCTGGTTCTGGTCGGGTGGCGAACTACCCTTACTCGCCCTCCGCAGACCTACGCTTACGTTGGCCCGAGATCGTCTCTCGCAAGGTTGCGGTGCAAGTGCAATAATGTACCGTTTTTAGTCAGTAACCACCCTCCCAGGAAGGGACAAGGCGTTCGATAAATTTCCCCCCAAAAAAAGAAAGTGTCAGTAGTCTCTTGAGACCATATGACTAAAGAAGCAGTTTCCAAAACAGCATATCAGAACCGCGTGTAACTTTCGTCCTTTAAGTTTTAAACATTACATTACCAGTAATTGAGCCATCGCTCTCATGTCCGGGCACTTGATATTAGGAGCTAGGGTTATAGACACTATTGACAGTATTTTGAATATTGATAACTTAATTACTCAGTTAAGATAAAGGGTTTTAAATAAGAAGTTGGGTGCATAATTAATAAGTACGTTTGGTGCATATAGGTGATCAACCTTGCTATCAAGTTTGTTTTGACTGGCAAATTTATCATTATATAAACTATTTGTAATTCAAAAGTAGGGATAAAGATAAACCAAATATTAGGTATTACCCTTAACCTAAGCTTTGGCTATAATTTAAAAAAAAAACTAATGAGTAAATCAATTTTGTTATATCAAAAACACAATTTTAGAAAAAGATCGCCATATATATGTATATACATATAAGTTTCTTCACTATTAAATTGACGTTATTATACATATACAACTTCCTCTATAGTCACTCTATCTATTAAAAAACCGCATCAAAATCCGTTGCGGAGTTTTGAAGATTCAAGCGTAAACAGGGATATAGGGACAGAGAAAGTGACTTTGTTTTATACTTTGTAGTGATGATTATGGACAATGGGTTTCGGAAGCAGAGATATTTACTATAGTACAATTCTATGACGTCACACTATAATTGATTAAATAAATAAATGTTTCACGCTAAGGGTTCTCTGCCGCGTGCCAACACAAATAAACAGAATGAAGATCGGAACTACATTTATTACGATACAAAATAAATATTTATATTCACACAGGATGTGAACTTGCGTACGTGAGCTATGAAATACCTTTTTTGGATCTAACTATTTAGTGTTGGAATTTGATTAATGCTCTTAGCATTTGATTGTTGTAAAAGTGAGATTCATAGTATCATCATCAGCCTATAAATGCCCACTGCTGAGCAAAGGCCTGTTCTCACGCGGATAATCTTTGAGCATTTATCACTGCGCTTGCTTAAGGCTGATTGGCGATTTCAAACTTATAATAAGAAATTATAAGTTTAGGTTTCCTTACAATATTTTCCTTCAACGCATGGCTATAAGTGCTTTAATATCCTTAAAAAGTAAATAACTCTGAAAATGTTAAGTTAGTTGATAGGTAGGTATGTATTACTTGCCAGGTTTCCAACCCACTCTCGTGCATAAGAAGCGGCCTATTACGAGGCCTAAGCCCATTCACAAGGCATAATTACTTACTCCATGCGATTATTGAGAATTTATTTCTTATAAGGAATTAGTTATCTCAAGTAAAGTGCGTTTTATAATTATTACTAGACAATTAAGCTTTCCAAGACTCATTTCGTTTACTTTTGCTAAGTGAAAGAGGGAGTTTTCTAACTATTTATACACCCTTTCTGTTTAAATGACTTCTCCCACCTAGGGTGAGGCGAGAGGGAGTGTCAGACTCTTACTGACTAAAAACACCCCCGTTTCTTCTCCTGCTTTAGGCCGAGGCCGTGGTGCCTCATTGCGCTTACCCCGCAATCCCAGCTAAAACACCCTAAAACATAAATTTTCTAAAAATATATGTCATATACTTCATTCCCTAAATTCTTAGAAACAAACATAAAAATAGACTCGCATGTCGCCTTGTTAGAGGCAACTTTACTTATATAAAAATAGCCGGGCACTGTCATGGCCGCCGGCTTTATTGGAGCACACCGCTAATTGATTGTTTTCATGCTGTTCCCCGTATTGGGGTGATACTGATGTCTAATTATATGTAGACGGCGTGGCTGTGTGTTGGGATATATCTATTTTATTGTATTAGTCGTTTTAACATTTTTATTGTATTATGTAACTTTATATAGTAACTCTCGCGCGTTTTCACCCGCTGCACGGCTCCTTTTAATCGTAGCGTGATGTTTTATAGCGTATAGCACTCAGGAATATTGTAGCTATTTATCAGTGAAAGAATTTTGGAAATCCGACCAGCGGTTCCAAAGATTACCCCCTACATACAAACCTACAAACAATTTTACCTCTTTATTATATTAGTATAGAAGATATAGACTAGGTTTCGCGGTTTCGCACGCATATAAAAGTAATGTGTCCCGGGATTTAAAAAAAAAGAATCGTTTAAAGCGATGGCACGAATAAAATACGTAAATCAAGTATATTTTATAGCCTATATTATAGCACTCCGGAACATTGTAGCTAGCATCAGTGAAAGAATTTTAGCTAT